GCAGGCCTGGGAGCGGCGTGAAGCAGGACGCAGCGGCAGGCTGGCCTGAGAGCGCCTGGGCTGGGCTGGCGCGGCCTGGAGGAGGTGAGACCACCGTCCACCCCAGGCCTCGTGCGTTGGGAGGGTGGGAGGAGAGCCTCCCTTGCCACTCAGGCCAGGGAGATTTCTGTCAAAGTGGAAATGTACTCCCGGGGAAACAGGCGCTGCTCCCTGACGATGCCGTGGGTCTCAGCCGTGCTGCCCGGGGCTTCCCTAAGGGGCCACTCCCTCCCTGTCCAGACCAGCTCCAGTCCATCTCTGTGTCCTCTGGAGGGTGGGCTGGCCTGCTGCAGAGCCCCCTTCTTTTGGAGGCAGAGCCCCCAGCCCCGGCCAGAGGACGGGATGGCCAGGCAGGGCCAGCTCGAGGACAGGCGGGACCACGGACCTCCCTGGGGTGCCAGCTGAGCCCTGCTGTTGTGCCGGGGCTGCCTGGGGCACGGCGGTGGCTCCTCTGCTCCCTGGGCCTGCAGAGCAGCAGGGGCGGGGCTGGAAGCGGAGGAGCCACCGCCCCGCAGGGTCCCCCGTCCCTCAGGAGCAGCTGGAGCCAGCCGCCCGCGCCTCCAGGTGTCCCCGGCAGCACTTGGGGGGGTGGGCACACGCCCAAGGGCACGTTCACGCTTTGAACCAACGTCCTGTCATGTCACGGTCCGTGTGTGACGCACCTTGGACGAGCCTGGGTGGCACGGCAATTTCCAGGTGCCCCTCACAGTCCTGCCCCGGGACTGCCAGCCCCTCCTCTGAAGACCCCACCCTGCCACCAGCACACAGCCTTCCCTCGCTGTCAAAGGTTGGTGGCCCTACCAGAACAGCCCATCCCAGGCTGACCACAGGGCTCCAGCCACACGGATGGGGCCCTGACCCCGGCCAAGCCACACGGTGTCCTGTCCCCCGGAGTCTGGGATGAGACTGGCCAGCAGTGAGTCAGGAGGCCTGCCTGCTCCCAGCCCTGGAGGCCGTCAGCCGCCTGGGGGCTGGCATGGCTCACAGCATGGTGGGGAGGAAGACCCCATCCTGGCAGACCCCACACGCAGGCTCCTGACCAGCACCAGGGCCTTCGTCCTGCCTCCTGCCCCTCGGGCCACAGCTCTCCCCTGGGCCTCAGGGCTCTGCTCTCCGCCTGCCCTCCAGCTGTCCTGGCCACTGGTCCTGCCCCACCCCAGTGCAGAGAAGGAAGGGCAGGGCCCACAGCCCACGTGAACCATCCGTTCTGTTCTGTGGGCAGGGACAGTAACTGTCCCCACACCCAGCAGGGGACACTGGGCCCAGGTGGGATTGTGTGGAGTCACATGATCCTGCGGCAGGGTGGTGGGACCCACCTGTCTCCTGTGATCGCACCTTCCCCCCCTGCAGCCACCCACAGCAAGACACTGGCTCCAGAAGTTCCCCAGATGGCCACCCATCATCAACCGGCCCTGCCGGGAGCCTCAGGGAGAATTAAGGGGGGAAGAGGGGGCTGCCTGCCCCGGCCCCCCTGTGAGAGGCTGTCCAGGGCTCCTGGCCCCTGGCCTCTGGGGCGCCGACACCCACTCTGACTTCCCTGAGCTGCCGTCCCCGCCCCGTGGCTGTCCAGGCCAGCACCGCCAGCTGCAGCGCCTGGACAGAGCCCTGGCCTCCTGGAGTCCTGGGCCCCTTCTCCTCCAGTGCTGCCCCTCGCCTCAGCAGGACCCGGGCAGAGCCGGCCTCACTACACAGCCCGCCCCAGACTCCAGGCCCCGGGCGCCTGGCTATCGGTCATTCTCTCCCTGGAAGTCCTCAGGATCAAATATGATGTGGCCGGGAATGAAGTCTGCGTGACCCACGGCACGTCATGGACGCCCCGGGCAGCAGGAGCCCCTGACAGGAGACAGAAGAGAGGGCCACACCTGTGACGCCGTTCCTGACACACGCTCAGGTGGGGCAGCTGGGGCAGAAAGCGGGCAGTGGAGCAGGGGTCTGGCTCATGGGCAGGGCCTTCCTAGGGGTGAGCAAATGCCCCGAGATCAGTCAGTGGCGAGGCTGCCGGCGCAGGACGCCAAACCCCGACGTGTGGGGTGGTGGCAAGCCTGCGCCCTGTGTGTGCAGGGCCTGAAGCCGCCTTCAGGCCGGGCGGGTGGCCTGGGCCCTTGGCTTGCTGGCAGAGGAGGTGAGAGGGCCAGGCGCAGCCCCTCCGGGCAGGGCCCCCTTGCAAAGGCAGTGAGGCGGGCAGGTGGGCACCAGGGTTCTGGGCGTGGCCGGAGGGGACCTAAAATAACTCAGAGAGCCCGAAACTCCCAGGGAGAAGCTGAGGGCTGAGGTCTCCTCGGATGGGGAACCGCTCCTGGCGGGAAGGAGAAGTTCTGCTGGGCAGGGGTGGGTGGGGCTGCAGGGAGCCCGGGTGCTCCCGCTGCAGCTCTGCAGGGGCACCTGACGGTGGTGCAGAGGCACGTCCCACATCTCACACGGGGACTGAGGCCCAGCCCCTGGGCTCCTGCTGCTCATGGGGCGGCTGGAGAGTCCGTGTCCCTAGACCCACTTTGCAGGATAGTCTCCAGGCAAGAGACCAAAGTAGGCTGCCCGTGAGGTCTGAATGGCCCACGAGGCGTCGCGCACACGAGGAGTCGCTCTTGGCGCACGCCCGTCTCGGCCGACCCTGGGCATACGCTTGCACTGAACGGGTTTGTTCTCTGAGTTCTGACTTATCCAAGTTCACATCTGTGGATGAGGTGGCCGAACCAGAAGGGGTCCGCGGCGGGCCGAGGGCTCCTGTGAGCAGCAGTGGAGCCCTGTCTCCTGTCTCTGTGGCCACCCGTTCTCCCCCTGAGCTGGCTCTCTCCAGCATCCTTCAACAGGAAAAGAGACGTGGCCACCAAGGATGTCCAAGGGTGTCCAAGGGTGTCCAAGGACACGCGGCCTGTGGGAAGTCAGCCTGGGCCTTCGTGTAGCAGCTTGACACACACAGTGGTGTTTAAATGGCTTTCTTTGACCTTGATGCTTTCCCAAAGGCGCCATGACCGCAGATCAGGAAGAAAGGGGGGTTCTCAAGAGGCTGCGACCCCCGGCCCAGCCTTGTAGGGCCAGCAGGCTTCTTCCTGCTTCGAAGGCAGTGAGCCTCCAGCCACCATCTCCCAGCGCCCCCTCCCTGATGGCATTTCCTGAGCACCTACTATGTGCTGGCACTGAAGTGACCAGCAATCATCAGGCCAGCAGGAGCAGCACCTGCATCACAGGAGGGGACAGGGGAGTGGACAGGGGGGGTTGTCCCAGCCACACAGGCCACTGACTCCTCTCTCACCTGTTCTTCCTGATCCTCCTCCCCCAATTCACTATGTCTTTGCCTCTTCCCCGACCACGTCTGAAATGCATCTTTGACACATGCTCATTCTGTATTTGCATAGATTGCATTTTTAGTCTTTTGGAAAGTATACCCTGAACTTTCCTCCCTGCCTGCCTTCCTGTGTTCTTTGCCATTTTCACATCCACCTACCCACCCAACCATGCATCTATCCATCCAATTATCATCCATCCATCCATCTATCCATCCACCCATCCATCCACCCATCTACCCATCCACCCACCCATCCACCCATCCATCCATCCATCCACCCATCCATCCACCAATCCATTCATCATCCATCTATTCATCTACCCATCCACCCATCCATCCACCCATCCACCCATCCACCTACCCATGCACCCATCTACCCATCCACCCATACATCCACCCATCCACCCATACATCCACCCATCCATCCACCCATCCACCCATCCATCCACCTATCCATCCAACCATCCACCCATCCATCCATCCACCCATCCACCCATCCATCCACCCATCCACTCATCCACCCATCCATCCACCCATCCACCCATCCATCCACCCATCTACCCATTCACACATCCATCCATCCATCCACCCATCCATCTACCCATCCACCCATCCATCCATCCACCCACCCATCCATCCATCCACTCATCCATCCATCCACTCATCCATCTACACATCTACCCATCTACCCATCTACCCACCCATCCATCCATCTATCCGTCATCCATCCATCTATCTACCTATCTACCCATTCACCGATCCACCTATCCATCCACCCACCCACCCATCCATTCATCCATTATCCATCCACCCATCCATCTACCCATCTACCCATCCACCCACTCATCTACCCATCCACCCATCCACCTACCCATTCATCTGTCATTCACCTATGCATCCATCCATCTACCCATCCATCCATCCATCCATCCATCCATCCATCCATCATCCATCCATTTGTATCAGTGTTAGAATTCAAAGTGACATGCTTGGGGCATTTAGTAACATGCTCATTTGAGTTAAGAGCTGACAAACGTCCTTCTTGGTGGGCTGGTTTTCAGAGAGGACATGCTGCCAACAGTGTTCAAGGCAGAATTTCCAGGAAGGTAGTGAGCCAAGTCTGCAGCTTCGAGGCTTTCATGCAAATGGGTGCTGAGCATGGGTGGCACGTGCGGGTGCTAGGAACACCCCCCGTGGCTGTTGAAACAATGGTGTTCAGACGTTGGGAAGCAGCCCGTCGGGCACCAGGGAGGGCCCCCTCTAAATGGGTGCAGAAGGACACCAGAGGTGCTGGATGCTGTCTGTATGACCTGGTCATGTCCCACATGTCTGTCTGGGTGCTCAGACCTGTCCTCGTGACCCAGGGGTGAGGCTATGGGGTGTGGTTTGCTGTCACCTCTGGGAACTTCTCTATCATGCACTGGGCCACCATTATCCACCAAAAAAGCAGCAGTCCCAGGTTTGCATGTGACCGAGCTGAGTAAGGTCATTTCATAAGAGATTGCACATCAAGGGGAGGACTTGGTCCATCAAAAAAAAATTTTAGGGAGCATGCAAGCGGACATTTAGAAAGCATTACAGAGCACTGGGACTCCCCATAGGCCCCGAGGTGTCCCTGGCACGTCCCTCCCCGCTGACACCCCCCTCAGCGCTGTTCAGTGGGAGGCTTGGGCCAAGGCGGGCAGAGGGAGCCCAGGAGCGCAGGCAGGTGCAGAATTTCCCTCCGGCCACCTACACAACAGAGGAGGCAGCTCTGCCTCTTCCTTCTGCCTTAAAGGGAGGCCAGGCGATTCCCACCACCCGCTCCGAGTGCAGCGGACTTTCCCAGGTGCCCAGGAGGCCATGTGCTCACTGGCCTGCAAATTCCAGGACTTTCCACCATCTGAGTCACACCCCAGAGGCTCCCGAGCCATAACTGCTACAGACAGAGCTGGTACACCAGAGCTGCCCCTCCTGTCCAGTCTCCCATGGACTGAGGAGCCCCTTGGAGCAGCATGTCCAATAGGGATTTGATGGGCGTTGCCCAAGAGACGCCCTGTGTTCTACAGCCAGTGTCCCAGGGAAGGAGAGTGAGGGGGAGCTGCAGGCCACAGTGTCCACCTGAACCCATACACAGGGACGTGTGGCTGCACTGTACTCAGTCTCAGCGGTTCTCCAGTGGTTTGCACCCGTTTCTGCAGAGGACTTTGGAATCCCATGTGCTGTACAGGTCATCAGGGCTGGCTTCGGACCAGCTGTCTGCAGTAGCCCCTGGAGGCTGCAGGGCTGGAAGGACCCCCTGCCACACCTGAGGCAGGATCCACAGGCCTCCGTGGGGGGTAGTGGGCAGGATGGACTGTAGGTGCACAGGCAGGGTGGCGGGAGGGCGGCCTTGCAGGACCGGGGCCAGCTGCCTCCCGGAGGGAGGAAGCACCTGGCAATCTCGCCTTGGCAGGAAGTTGCCTCTCGCCTCCGGCTGCACTCTGCTCTGGGTGGGGAGCCCCATGGGGACCCCCGGTGGGGATGGCCCCTGCACGAAGGCAAGGAACCCCTGCTGAGGGGACCTAGCGACTGCTGGGTCTGGGGAGGACTGGGGACAGGAGAAGCCCCTAGGGACTGTGGGCAGTGGCAGTGCTGCCGCTTTCAGAGTGTGAGGTCCCAGCCCTCCGTCTAGAGCATGCTGTGGGGGGACGCGAGTGGCTCCGGCCGCTGCCTGTCAGTCTGTCCAGGGCTGGGGGACATCGACACAAGGCCATCGTTGGGGTCCCCTTGGAGATCACCTGGGAGGAAGCTTGGCATCAAGTTTGCATGAGCCACTCCCAGTGGGGAGGACAGGAGTCACCTCTGCAGGTGGAGCACTGTGCCTGGCCTGGGGACATGTGGGCCACCAGCAGGGCAGATAGGACGCAGTGTCGTGGGGAGGCTGTGTGACCACGGGCACACTGCCCCCTCTCTGGGCCTGACTGCTGAGCTCCAGGGTCTGCAGGGCTGGCGGAGCCCTGTCCCCACACAGAGCGTGTGCAGTGGGTGGAAACCTCAGACCTCTCTTGGTGGAGGACCCAGCAGTGGGAAAGCCCTGAAGGTGGCGAGGGACCCGCTCCTGAGGAACCCCCAGATGCGGTGGAGACGTCTGTGCCCTGCTGGCCCCAGCTGGCTCTGGGTGCACTCAGGTGCACCCCGGCCGAGAACTGAAGTGAGGGGCCGTGAACGCAGCCGTGAGGGCCTCCGGCCCCCACCCCGCACCCTGTCCAGGGTCTGTGAAGCTGGGGCTTTCCAGGCACTCAAATCGCGCCCCTATCCGGGAGGCCAGGAGGAAGCTCTGGGGCCCGCGGGGCGGAGTGAATTCCCCAGTTCCCTCTCTGCTGGGCCCTCCTGGCCTTTGTCTGCAGGGGCAGCTGCAGGGGCGGCACCAGCCGGGCTCCCTGGGGAGGCATGGGGGTGAACTGGGGCTCTGCTGTGCCGGCCCCCCTTCACCAGCCGCATTCAGGGGGACTCGGTGGACGCAGGCAGCTGGTCTCCACCTCGGGGGTGGCTAGGTCCAGCCCACCACCCTGCACACATCAGGAGGCCCAAGGTCAAGAGGGCTGCCTGTGTCCAGCACAGAGGACAGAGCCTGGGCCTTGCACCTTAGCCCTGGCCCAAGACCCAACGTACCCAGGCCAATGTAGAGTCTCCCCTCTGCTCCCCCCCAGTGGACGGTACTGCCCAGGAGGACCACAGTCATGACCTGGACAGGCCCCTCGGTCCTCCTGACTGTCCTGCTGCATGACTGGGCTTCTAGCCCCTTTTGGGGGGCGATGCTCACAGGCTGGGCCAGAGTCCACAGTGGGCCCATCCTGCGGCCCTCCGGGGCTCTGCCTGAGCTCTGGGGACAGCCAGGGAGTTGGGGGATTTGGGCAGAGGGGGGCCAGCTGCTCTGGCGGGTGTGGAGATGGGACCTGGCGCTACGCCTGTCCTGTCCCCCGCGACGGCGCTGTACCACAAGGCAGGTCAAGGCCCCTCTCATGAAGACCTGTGCTGCCCAGCAGGCGGTCTCCTGGCCCACCCATCTGAGGGTGGCCCTGATGCCAAGCCCAGGTTGGCTCGCCTGACACCTCCTGACAGTGGCCTGTGCACACACGGCCCCAACTAGGTACCAGGGCTGGGAGGGGCATGGACACACTGCAGGGCCTTTGGGCAGTCGGTGCTGCAGAGGGAGGGGGTGGAGGGGAAGCCATGCCATCGCCCTGGGCCCCGTCCCTTCCCATCTTCCTTGGATGCGATGGTCTTCCCAGGGTGCGATGGAGGACGCAGGGCTCCGGGGAGGGCCTGGGCTCTGTGGAAGCCTCCGGGTGTGGGTGTGGCTTGTGTTCCCAGCATTCCTCGCCCCCCATGTCCTGGAGGCCCCTGCCTCCCCAGGTCCTAGCGTCCTTCCTGAGACCCCCTCCTCCAGGGCTGGCATCGCCTCAGCCCGGCCGTCCCCCAGTGAGCAGCTGGGCCATCTGGGGCAGCCTGCCCAGCTCCGGAGCAGGTGCTGGGCGGGATGGGCTTGCCGGAGAGCCCAGTTCCTCTGCTGGTAGCAGGAAGAGAGCAGGGGGTGGGTGGGCAGAGGCCTGGGGCTCACTCACTACTGACACACTGTGTGGCCATGAGTGGCCGTTCCCCTCCTAGCCCATGCCCCTTTGGTAGAGGACGAGGTAAGAGCAGATGGAAGTCAGGGACCAGATCTGCCATATTTAAGGCCTGTGATAGTCCTCAGGCTCTGACTGCAGGGGTCCTGGCTCCTAGGGAGATGCCCTCTGGCTTGGAGGGACAGCTGTGACCCTGCCCCCCTGCCTGGGCAGGAGCTGAGGCCTTATGAGACTTAAGGGAGGTTGGGCTGTAGCCTTGATCCTGGGCTCGGGTCAGGCCCTAAATCCTGGGCTGCTTGGGGGCAGAGGTGGACGCAGCTGAAGGGGGTCTGGTGGGTCTCAGCAGCCCCAGGAAGGCCCCGGCCCTGGCAGTCCCACAGCAGCCTGTGACGTGCTGGTCACGTCTGCTGGTCCCACACCTCAGGGACACCCCACAGGCCCCCCTGGGTGAGCTGGCCCATCTGCACCTCTCCATGGACAGGCCCTTAACTGTCCTCTGACCGAGGCCCTGACTAGAGAGACCCAGACAGTCAGGCCTCCCAGGCCACGTGGCGGATGACCCCAGCCAGTGCTGGAAGGCGCCCAGACGCATAGATCCGCTGTGTCCAGGAGGCTCCGACACAGCAGCAAACAGTCCATCATGAGGCTCCCAGCCAGAGCTCGGGCTCCCTCAGGCCAGTCTCTGAGTCCCTCCCCTGAGCTGGAGCCCAGCACGAGACCTAAAGCCCAGCACCCGGGGGCCCCGTTTGCCCCTGCCCTGCTGGCTGTGGGGCAAGGACATCTCCTCCTGTCTCTGGGCCCAGATCCTGCTCTGACCAGGCTGAGATGGCAGATGGGGATCTAGAGGCCCCGCAGGCCCACGGCCCGTCCTGCTTCAGCCTCGGCAGGAGTGCGAGCAGGTCGCCTTGAGCCTGCTGGAGACCAGGGGTCCTTTCTCTCTGAGCCCTGCGCTGGGTGCCACGGCCACCGTGAGCTGGCAGGCAGGGGACACGTGGAACAGGGAAGCGGCGGGTTTGCCCAGTGGGATGACCACGGAAGGAGCCGAATGCCGCAGGAAAAGACCGACGGGGGACAGGCCTCCTGAGGAGCTCTGGGCAGCTGCCAGAGACTGACCAGCGCACGCGAAGGCCCTGGGTGTGGTGGAGCTACTGGCTGCGAGGAGAGTGCCGAGCGGTCGACGGAGTTCGCACCAGATTGCTCTTCCAAAAGACGTGACGTCAGGGCAGCCCTGCCCTCGAGGGCCTCCCACCTCTTTCTGGGCAGCCCTCCTGAGGGCCACCTCCACCTCCGAGCAGACACCCTGGGCCAGGCAGACAGACCCCTGCTTTGGTCTGACCTCTGACTCCATGACCATTGATAACTGTAACAATGACCAGAGCCCAGGGGCATCTGGGGGCAGCTCCCCCAGAGGGGTGGACGGGTTTGGCATGTGTCCCCTGGAAGGAGAACTGGGCGGGGGAGTGGGGGTCCTCACCCTCGCTACTCCCATCTCTGCCTCCCGTCCAAGCACATCACAAGACCAACGAGTCAGAGGAGCTGTGCTGGGACCCGTCAGCGGGAGGCGTCCCCCTCGACCTGGGGAGGAAGTGAGAGCCGGCTTCGCGTGAAGGGTGTCCACCTCCAGCCTCCAGGACCACTTCCCCCACGAAGCTGGCCTGACTGCCTGTCCTGCACCCTCTCTCCCTAGGCTCCCCTGCCTAGGGGTTGCCTTGCCCTCAAGGAGCAGGGCCCAGTCTCCCTGGCACAGAGGAGAGCCTCTTGAACTCCGCAGAGACCGGCCTTCCTCAGGGTAGGGCCACTGGACAGCGGGGGAATGCCCAGGGGTGGCGGGATCAGGTTGAGAGCTGGGGGCTGGTCAGTGGGTTGGCCCGCCATATGGACTGTCTGCGTGGTGACAGCAGGCAGGTGGGGTGTGGCTGGAGGGGGTCCCTGGGCTCTCTTGGTCCCTGGTGAGTGGTGCTCCCTCCTTTCCTGGGGCCACACCCTTCAGCTATGACCTTCTGTCTCACCTTGGGCCCAGAGCTGTGGAGCCGGCTGAAGGCGAACTGAACCTCCGAGGCCATGAGCCAAAATAAACTGCCCCTCCTCCGAGTTGATCCTGCGTCTTGCGCTTACAGCTGAGCAGCCCATCCCTTACCAGAAAGCTGCCCTGTGGACCACGTGGGTGGCGGGAGGGCTGGGGGACAGTCCATTCTCCTCCTCGCCCCTCTCCTGATCCCTGCTGGGACACCTGAGCCAGCAGCACCCTAGGGCCAGCCCCCTACCTAAGCCCACTCAGTGGTCAGTCTGATGTTACAGTGCTGGAGCTGTTCCAAACTGCCCACCCGGCCCTGGGCCTCAGACCCTGGCAGAGGAGACCCTAACATCATGAGGTGACCAAGAGGGAGGTCGGGCGGGGGCCGGGGATGCCTGCAGCATGCGAGAGGTAGAGGGACGGAGAGGGACGGAGAGGGACGGAGAGGGACGGAGAGGGACGGAAAAGGAGTCTTGCCGAGCTGGAGGGGCACAACCTGCCACAGCTGGACTTCAGCCTCCTGGCCTCCAGACTCCAGAGGGTCCTCTCCCATTTCAGTCCCCAGCTTGTGGTACAGTTGTGCCTTGGGACAGTGAGGGACGGGTTCCAGGATCCCCCGGGGACACCAGAACCTGCGGTGCTCAGTCCCTTGTATAAACAACATTGTTTGTACAAAACCGACAGACATCCTCCCGGACACCATAAATCAATCACCTGCAGGTCACCCTTGACACCTGCGCGGTGTGAATGCCCCGTGTGCAGCTGTCACACTGTGCCGTTAGGGAACGAGGCGAGAAAAGCCTAAGCGCTCTGTGCAGATGCACCTTCTCTTCCAAGTCTTCCTCCCCGAGGTGGCTGTCCCTGGGCGAGGGACTGGCCAGTGCAGAGGAGCCACACTTGGCTTCTGCAGCCCCGAGGAGTCCATCCAGCGGGGAAGGGCCTTCCCGAGAGTGGCCTGACTCCGTGGCTGCATGGGTGGGAATGTCCCCGGAGCCAGCCCACGTCAAGCTCTGGGTGCCACCACCCCCAGGCCAGGTGGCAGGCGTCCGGCTGCCTGTCACCTTTCAGCGCCTGGCCCCTGTCCTCCCTGCCTCTGTGTGGGCTCTGCCGGTGGGGCCAGCGCACTGCCTCCCCGTGGGCTTAGGCTGAAGCCTGCCAGCTGGACCCCGTCCTCCATGGCCAGCCGGCCTGGCCTGGTTCCTCCCCAGCACCTCGGCCTCCCCTTCCAGGGGAGGCAGTTTGTCTTCTGACTCAGCCTCCTTTTCTGTAATCCACACGTCTCCTGCTGCGGACGCGGGCACCTGGCACCTCTCTCCCTAGGCTCCCCTGGACAGGGTTTGCAGGGTGGGGTTGCCGGGTCTGCCATGAGCAGGGCCCACCTCCCTGGCACAGAGGAGAGCCCGGCCTGTAGACACACCTCTAACCCCTGACTAATGCCCTGCTTCAGGATCACCGTGCAGAAGATGGTCAGGAGTGGAGGGCCAGGGCCTCCCTGCGCCCTGCTGACTTCCGGGCCTGACATGGCCAGAGGGGGTGAGGGCCTTGCCCACCAGGCCGTGGCCAACTCTCCCTGCCACTAATTGTGAGCAGCAGCGGGCGGGGCAGACTCACCCTTCAGCCTACAGTAGGACACGTGACCCCTATTCAGACCTCCAGGATTCTCATGGCCTCCTGGGGCCCGGCCAGGCCTCCCTCCTCCTGGGCCAGGGTCCTCCACAGCCTCCACAGCCTCCTCCAGCCGGGCCCAGCTCGACACTGCCCCTGGTGGTGCTTCCTGGAAACGCAGGGCCCCAACAGGGGCCTTGGGGAGTCCCTGGCCCACGAAGTGACCTTCTGAGTGACTGGGTGTCCTACCAGAGGCACACCCGGACCATCTGCTCTGGGCACCTCCAGCCACCAACACTGCAGGCACGAGCACAGCACAGTGGGGTTCAGGGCCACCTCTTGGCCCTGACCTCCTCCAGGGTCAACACCCCAGTCAGACACACCTCTGGCCACGCACTTGGGACCCTCTCTTCCCACCCCTCCCGGCCTTTCAGAGGCCATGCCCACATCCGTCCCGGAGCAGGAGGGTCTGAGGAAGCAGCTGACCCAAGGGTCTGCAGCAGCAGGGACAGAGCAGGCCACAGGCCCCCAGGACATCCCGGCCGGCAGGACCACCCCCGGAGGAGGGGCAGCTGCCCACGCCTCCATCGCGAGCGTCTCTGAATCGCCCCCTGAGAGAAGCCAGCAGTGTGGAAGCTACCTGTGAGTCACCGGGCCCTGGGCTAGCTGCAGGCGGGGCCAGACTCTCTGGGACGGGCAGAGGAGGCCATCCTGGGTCCCCAGGCACAGCCAGGCCTGGATCTGCAGAGGCACCGGGAACATTGGCACTGTGGGCTTCGGAAGGATCCAGAGGCTGCCCAGAGAGGAGCCACGTGGCTGGACTGGGGAATGGGGCTGTCTGCCTGCACCTCTGAGCCCCCAGTGTCATGGGATGAGGCCCTCCCAGGCCCAGAGGGACTGGTGGGCTGGGGTCAGAAGGCGTCAGGAAGCTGAGCCCTGCCCAGGCTCCATCGCCCCTACTCCCAGTCAGGAGTGGCCTGCTCCCTGACACCAGGGCCAGCACCCTCTCCTCTGGCCTGGTTTCCCCTCCCAACCTGTAGAGGCAGCAGGCGGGGGCGTCCCAGGAGGAGGGGGCTCTGCGGGCCCCACTCCTGACTTCCAGCCACGGCCCCCACGTGGAAGGTGCAGCCCACCCTCTCCTGGACGGGCTGAGCATCTGCCCTGGGTGGGGCCAGGGTGAGGCTTGGCACCTGCCAGGGCCTCACAGGCCACCTGCCCCAGCTGTGGGGTGCTGCTCCGTGGGGGGCCACCTTGATAATTGGGGCGGGTCCACACGGCCACGTTGTCGCCCAGTCTGCCACCTGCTCAGCTACGGCCCCTCCCCCGCCCCGGCCCAGCCTCTTACCTGGACCGCCCTTCCTGGGCCCCCGGGGCACCGAGGCCAGGGGCCCACTGTCCAGCGTGGAGGCTGCTCGGGACATGGAACTGGAGGTGGGTTGCAGGCTGGACTGGCGCCCTGGCCCTCAATCCTGGCAGGCCTCTCTCAGAGGTGCCTCTCCCAGACCTCTTGGGGTCTGGAGGGAGAGAGGAAGGGTGGGATCCGGTGGGGTGTTCTGGAGCCTGGCCTCTGTCCCCCGAAAGCTCCAGGCCCTTCTAGCACTGCTGCCTGCAGCCTGGGTGGTTGGCCCTGGGGAAGGGGGGGGAGGCCGCAGGGGCTCATGTGACAGGGCGGGCTTGGGGACAGTGGGGGAGGTCCGCCAGAGGCTGCAGGGGCGAGGCAGCCAGCTGTGTGGCTGTGATAGTGCGGTGGGGGCCAGGGGCCGCAGCTGCACCCCCGGCTCCCCAGCAGGAACCATCTGGGTCCCCGCCGCCCGCCCTCCCTCACAGTCATTCCGGTTTGACTTTCCAACAACTTCCTCCTGCTGCCCAGCTGCCCTGAACAGCCCTGACGGCTGGCCCCTGGTGGGAGGTGGTTTTCCTGGCCCTGGGGCAGGTCAGCAACACGGGCAGTGTCCATCCTGGCCCAGAGCCCCCACCTCCCAGCCTGCCTGTCCTCCCACGGGCACAGCCAGAGAGGTCTGGGGTCTCCTCCTCTCCTCCTGCTCCCAACAGACCCCAAGGCCCCTTTCTGCTTGTCCCCCACTCTGGAGCCGCCCAGCCAATAGGTCTCTGGGGTTGGCTGTGCCTTGGGGCAGATACGGGGGTGAGTCCTGGTGGGCCTCTGACCAGCCTCCCGTCCAGCTCGGGCTCCAGAGGGCTTCCCCCGACTCTCTGGGTTCCTGGGCCCCCGGCTGCCCTCCAGGGACCTCCCAGCGGCTTGGCCGAGGCAGCGTCTCTGCACGGCCCACACAGGGTGTGGGGGTGTGGCTGGTGAAAACCTCGGGGTGAATCCCGCCCCCCCGCCCCATGGGCCACCGGAGGTGACCAGCCACAGGCGGGTGGTGGGCCACCCTGCCCAGCAGCCTGGAGTTCACTGGGAGGCTACCCACCTTCTGGAGGCTCCAGAACCCACCCCAGATCTCCTGTGACCAGTCAGACTCGAGGGGGGCACCCCCATGTGAAGGTGCTGGAGAAAAGCTGTGGTCAGGGGTTCAGCGTCTGTCAGGAGGGGAGGGCAGCAGGCAGCTCACAGAGGGGCCAGTGTGCCCAGGCCTGAGGGGCTGCAGACACCTGTGGACAGGTCCATGGCCCTGGTGGAGGCTCAGCGGTCTCAGGCCAAGTGGGGGGGCACAGACCCGGGGGGGCGCATGGCAGCTCTGTTCCTCTCAGTCTCCCCAGGTGCCCGGGGCCTGCAGGTGGAGGTGGTGTCCCCACTTTGAGTCCAGGGAGCCTGTCCCTGAGGAGCCTTCCTAGACGTGGCCCTCTCTACCCTGCTGGCCCCAGGCTCTGTCCCCAGTGTTGCAAGCGGGGATTCCAATGAGCTGGGGCCACCTGCCACTGTCACTCTGTGTCCCTGTGGTCTGACCAGGGTGGGATTCGGGGTCAGCTTCCTGACCCTCGGTGTGGAGGCTCCTCCTGGCCCCAGGTCCTGGGGTGCAGGGGTGCATGCCAACGACCCTCAGATGGCCTGTCCACTGAGGGTCGGGCTGTACTCACATCCTGTCACTGTCTACTGTCACTTTCCAGCCTGCAAGGGAGCCAGGCTGGGGGGAAGTGAGGTTTGGGCGGAACAGTCCTGCCCAGGCGGCCAGCCGCAGGGGACCCTGGGCGGGGCTGCGGGGTAGGTGCTTGTTCCCTCCCCGCACCTGCAGCTCCCCAGATGGGAGCGTCCACTTCTCCAGGGGCTCTGAGCTGGCCTTCGGCTGGTCCAGCCTGACTTTCCCGCCGGTGGCTGGACAGGGGTGGGGCTGGGAGGAGACGCTGCCCACAGTGGGGGCTGCCGGCACCTGATCCCCATCCCCTGCCGGGCAGTTGGTGCTTGTGGGAAGCAGACGTTGGCTGCGGCTTTCCGAGCCGGGCGGCCCAGGAGATAAGGCGCCAGGGAGGAAGTGGCTGCAGGGGGGCACTCCCCAGAGACCACTGCCGTCTGTGG